TCAATTTTACCAACAAATTTTCACCACGTATTATTTTCCACGACTTTCTCGAACCNNNNGAATTCTAACTTTTTGCAAGTGAGATGAAGATTAATTTTAATTCTGAACTTTAATATTTACTTTAGCAGCGTCTATTTATTCATCACAGAGATTAAATAGGAAAAGCAAAACCAATTGTATCTCGATCGTAGAAGCAAAGTTAATTTTTATTCGCGTTCCTTTCTCTTTGTTGATCTTCCACGATCAAGAGAAACATCTCATTTTCTCTTTTTCTTTTTCTTTTTTTTTAAAGATCGATTCCACGTTCAATCTTTTCCAAACGTATCGTAAAGTTTTCTCTCTTTCCTTTTTTTCGAATCCCATTCCAAGAGACATTTAAATCCCGCGATAACGATAATATAATTTCAATTGTCGATATCACTCTTGTTGCACGGATTGAACGGAGGCGATAATTTAACGAGATAAATTTCCTTCGATATTTTACAAATACGCAATCTATTTTTTTTTTTTATCTTTTCCTTTCGTTCCCTGAAAGAGGAAAATTTACCTTCTCCACATTATATCCATTCTCATTTTTCGAAGGAGAATTGTTCTTCTCGAGGAATGAAATCAAGAATTTCATATCAAGAAATATCTTCTTTCAGTTTTATTTCATTTTATTTTATATTTTGAAATTTTTAAATTTCCTTTCAAAGGATGTTTCTATCTAGAAAGAGAGTTTCATTGTTTCTATCTTTCTATCTAGAAAGAGAGAGAACGGAGAACAAGAAAATTTGTTTGATTCTTGATCCAAGAATGAACGAGATTGGATCAAGTTTCCTCCTTTTTTTTTTTTTTTTTTTTTTTTTTCCATCGAGATCCGCCCTTCGAGGATCACAAGGAGCTAATAGATGGTGAAGTGGTATAGAAGATGTTATCGGTTGCGTGTCAGCAGTTTCAAAAGGAAGCTGAACTCCTCGGGTAGGAAATGTCTCTTAAGGTCATTGGTTTCAAGAGAACGGAATACAATACAGGAAACGAGTTGGATCTCGAAGGTTAAGAAAATTGTGTTTTCAGACTTCTTCTTCCGGAATATATCTCTTCCGGAACGGAGATCAAGAGAAGTCGAATCACTTCTCTGGTTCTGGAAGTTCTCTGGTCAATAATCATTTCGATTGTTTCGCGAACAATTCTTTGGTCACGTGGACGTAGAGATTACGTCGTGGATGATAAACTTCGTCGAAATTGGAATGGTTTGAGAAAAAATTATTCCAATTACAGAGGGAAAAAGTTTGGAAAATTATCGTTGATCGAATTTTACGAGGGATGAAATTCTATCAAGGGATAATTTCATCCCCGTTTTACGAAGTGTATTTTTTTAAACGTCAATGAATTTTTTTTTTTTTTTTTTCGGCAAACGCGTTTAGAAATTTTGAAATTGTTACGGGTTTATTTCACGGGAAAAAACCGATAGATTTTTTTTTTTTTTTTGAAGAAACGGTTGAAAGAACTTTGAAATCATTTTTTGTTTATTTAAGCGGGAAAACCCGGAAAATTTTTTTTTTTTTTTTTTTCGTCAAACGCGTGTAGAAATTTTGAAATCGT